CCTCCAGTACTTTATCAGGCCTCTTTCTGTCTACCTTCCAAGGTGGAAGCGACCACAGAAATGACTTCTGTATCTGCAGGCAACACCTACCTCGGCCATAAGTTAAGTGCTGGTGAATAAATGAATGTATGCATGACTGAAGGAGAAGAGCATTTAGGTGGAGTGGCGATCAATAAGGTCAGCTGCTATGGTGAGATCATGGAAAATAATGAAGGAAGAGAGCTATTGGATTTCCTAGTAAGGCAGGTGTTGCTGACCTTTGAAATGCTTGCTTCAGCAGAGTGATGGGCAAGCAGCCCAGATTGCGGGGAGTTAGGGACTTCTGACATGATGGAGACCCCCCAGTTCCCAGAGTTTCCTATTGACTGTTTATCTGAACATGTGGTGGAAACAGACTTTTTTTGGGAGCTGTAACTAAGTGACCTTAGGCCGGTTAGTTAACCTCTTTGAGTCTGTGATCTCCGAATAGGCAATAATAGTAATAATGGGTTTTTTAAATTTTTTTAAAGGATAAAATGAGACCATTGTAACCCACCAGAATGATGCTTGACATTTAGTTTGTACTTAAAGCATCATTGCCTTTACTCCTTCCACTCGACAGTTATTTTTATCAATGTTGTGATGGCATCCATCACCCTTCGTAAATTTGTATAAGATGCAAAATTGTTAAGGACACCCTTATTTCAATCATTGGAAAAATTGCATTTGGCCTGGAATTAACATACCTTTCAGTGAACCGCTGATGGCTACTTTGAAATTACATCCAGCTGGAAAAGTACCCCAAAAGGCAGTTGTCTCAAGCAAGCCTCTTTTAGGTACAAGTTATGGAATCCTACTTCAAGCAGATAATAGTTAAGAGAGGGAGAGAGAGAGAGTGTGTTGGCTTGTGTAACTGAAAATCACCAGCCTCAAGCATGGCCATACCCGTATCTTCTGGATCAAGCAATATTGTCAGTACCTCGTCTTTCTCAGACCATCTTGCAGCCCAACTGTCTTCCATGTGATTTTCATTCTTAAGCATATTTACCAGCTACAAATTTCAAGGAAAGAAAAATTTCCCTGTAGTTCTAACAGAAGTCCAGGATTCAATCTCACTGTTCAGACTTAAATCACTTGCTTATTCTTGTATGAGCTGCTGTGGCCAGGGACTGGGATGTACTGGTTTTTCAGGCCTGGCTTAAGGAATATTCTGTAAAATAACTGGTACTGAATATAGGGGAAGACTGGTTCCCCAAAGGGAAATTCAGTTTCTGTTACCAAAATGAAGGGGAGTAGATCAAAGCAGGCAAAACAATTGATTCCTTCCTACTGTACAGTAAAGTGTGTTCTCAAACTGTGCTGCTGGGAACTCCAGGGGTCCAACTGAGATGCCTCAACAAGTTGAAGGGAGGAAAAGAGTAACAAATGATTGGAAGTTCTCTAATCAATGCCCACTCTAGATTCCTTGAGAGTAGCTTCACTTTTATATATGTTTATATCCAATTTCTGGTTAAGAGTTCATTTGAAAATGGAATGGAACTTTGGCAGTACCATTGATGTCAGACAGTTTAGCATGATATTAGGCCCCTGAAGTATAAAAGCAGGTAACCATCTTCTCCCACTCCATGCCACTGAACAGATTTCTTGCCCTGACTTTTCTTCATTCCATTGGCCCAACTCATATTCCTAACCTACTAAAATCCAGACATGAATCCTCCATGTTCAGATATAGGAAGATTGTGACACTAGGCAGAAGTCCAGTTCTCAGTTTACCAGTATTGTGACAATTCAAAAATCATCACTTTGCCCATCAAGAAGACATCCCCAAAAGTTGTTGACAACTTGGTGACTCAGTATATGATTCAGCAATTATAAAGCAGGAAATTTTGATACATTCAAAAAATTTGAGCAATCATAATGTTTGATGATACGTTTCTACTGAAATTTACAGTTGATATCTGCAAGCTGAACAGTTTAATATTTTTCAAGCCTTTGCCTATCACTCATCTCTTAGGTAATTGCTGCTTAAATCACACTCATAGGGCTTTTTCTTTATCTACTATTGAATGTTTTAAAATATCTGGTCCACCCTTTCATCCTCCCAAAGGGTGGATGAGATATCAGAGCCCCACATGCCTGTTTGTATAAATAAAGTTTTATTAGACTACAGACACTCCCATTAGTTTGTCTCACCTGCTTTCATAACAGCAGAGGTGAGTAGTTGTGAAAGAGAATGTATGGCCCACAAGAAGTAAAAATATTTACTATCTGGTCCTTTGCAGAAAAAGCGGTTGGCCTCTGTTCTGTATTTCTGTGGCTTATCACAGGATTCCTATCGTAACATACGGTATACTTATGAAGAAGAATCAGGTAATGTCCTTGTAACTTTCACTCTCTGATGTTCTCAAAAGCATATCTGGGAAGTATTTTTGCCATACCTGTTCCACTTGTGCTCTTTCAATTCTCTAAACAACTTCTCTTTGTTTCTGTACCCTTAGCAATGTAGTCCTCGTCATCTTCTAAAACTGCCAGTCCTTTATTTATTTATTTGTTTGTTTGTTTATTTGTTTATTTATTTTAATTTATTTTTTATTGGGGAACAGTGTGTTTTTCCAGGACCCATTAGCTCCAAGTCAAGTAGTCATTTCAATCTAGTTGTGGAGGGTGCAGCTGAGTAGCCCATGTGGGGACCGAACCGGCAATCTTGATGTTATGAGCACTGCGCTCTAGCCAACTGAGCTAACTGGTCACCGTAGTTGTTTTTAAAGAGGAGGAGGAAGAGTGGTGATATGCCAGCTTTCCACCTCGCTCTTAGACACATTGGTACACACACCTGCCTATACTTAATGCGCAGGTACAAAGTCTAAACACATTGACAAAAATCAGGATTTATGTCATTTTATTTTCCCCTCCTGACCCGTCTCGATTTCATATTTGTTATTAGCAGTGCATTTTGTGAAGAAGTGAATGCTGTGGGCCTGGAGGGCTGATGAAGGAAGATGGGGGAGGAGCAGACCTTCCCTGACTTGGTCGCTGGATTCTGTAAGCAGCAGCTGCTCACCAGAGGCTGAGTAGTTAAGCTGTACTTGAAGAAGAACAGGGATAATAATACCCCTTTCCTGCATTTTTTGCAGTCTAAATGCCCTGTGGAGTGAGAGAAGACTTCAATCCCTAGGCTTGCAAAACCCTTATCTTTCCCAAACGTTAAATTAATTTTTAAGGCTATTTATTCAAAGTTGACTTAAGCACCAGAATAGGAAAAGATCAGACAAATCAGCTGCAAGAAATGAAGTATGAGGAAACCCGAACTCTTTGACAAAGTATTCCTGGGAGTAAATGTGTTGAATGAAGCCAGCGGGTAAATGATAAGGGCCTTTACACTATGGATGTAAGAAAGCAATTTATCAAGAGTACATGAACTCTCTGGTGACCACAAGTCAGGAGGAAACGAAAGTGGAGGAGGAGCCCTGAAAAAATACATTTGAAATACTAAAAACCGTGTGTGTGTGTGTGTGTGTGTGTGTGTGTGCATGCACTTTTAAATACCCGCATTAATATGCAGAAATCCTGGTGTATTAAAATAAGAGTTGCTCAGCGTGCCATGTACAGTACAGGGCATACTGTTTTGGGATAAGGGGGCAGGAAGAGTCGGGGAGAAAGTCCCAGCAGTGTTTCAGAACTTGCAGAAACCTTGGGTGCTCTCAGGCATAGTTAGGATTTGAGCCTGGTGTGTTGTCTGATCTCCATCTGCCTGACTCATGAGATTAGATGACCATCTTTCCCCACCCCCTTCTCAGCTCACAGGTTTATCTGTTTTAATCTCTAGAAGGTCATATGTGTATAATTGTGACAGTTGATCTAATGCTTTTGTGTTCTCTGAAGGAGTTCAAAGCACTTCTTATTATCTCGTTAATCTTGGTAGCACCTCTTTGAGCCCTGTGGATGAGACAATGTTATCTTAATTGTTCAGTTTTAGAGAAACTGAGGGAAAATGTAATTACGTTATCTGCAATAGGGTGCCAAGTAACTCAGATAAGGATGGAGACTAGGAGGCATGACCTTATCTTGGCTTTTAGATCTATGGGAGGAATGATTTCTTAGATTTGAGGAGAAAAAGGCCTAATTGTTGAAGTAAAATTTCCAGTAAAAGTATTTACTCTGAGGATGGTCGTCCTCAGTTTTCTGTACTGAGATAATACAGCTGAAATACATAGAAATTCTCAAACTTTGATGTTAGTCTATTTTTCCCCCTCATTTTCATCTGACACTAAAACCCTGGTCTGAGCTGTTTAAAAAAAAAAAGTGACTAAGTTGTGGCTTGGATTTCTTTCTTTTTTCTTTTTTTGAATAACTTTTAGAGAACATCCCAGTGAGTACTAAACTTAGTCTAACAGGTGCACAGCAAGAAGTAAAAATGGGAGAAGTAAGTCTTGGGATAATCTCCCTTAGCTAATTTCACTTGAGAGCCCACCATCCAGATGTTAGCTTCCCTTATTCCTTCTAAATTAGGCCTTTTTCCCCCTTGTGGTCTAAAGGACATGCTTCTCTTCCGCTTTGAACCGTTCAGCTATTGTAAGGGGTGAATCTTATTCAAAAAAGCAACATTGGTTGAGCCTGTTCTGCGTGAGGTGGGAATTGTTTGTTTTTTCCTTGGTGTTGGGGTTGGGGAGGAGGACACCATGGTAACTTGGGTTGAGCCATAGTTCAATTAGCAAATTAATTAGTCTGGTTTTCAGAGTCAGCTACAGTCATTTAGAAGCATCCTCTGTGGCTCTCTGTCTGAATGTTGACTGTGTTTTGTATTTGCTGTTGTCTGCAGTTTACACACAAAACAGGGAGGAGGTGGGAAGAGAACTGTGCACATTGCAGACTCTTGCTTAAACACCTTAGGTTACTTAACCATCCGCTTTTCCACGTGGAGCCCTGATCATTTCCAGTAACTTGTTTCTACTTTGTCTCTGCCCTCTCCCTTTGCCTCTGTCTCCCTGCCCACCTCCGGACCATCGGCGGGCCTGACACAGCCTTGGATAAGCTCAGCACGCAGCACCTGTACCACCCCACGCAAGTGGAGATCGTGCAGTCCAACGTGGTGTTTGACATCAGCAGCCTGATGCTCTACGGGACGCAAGCAGTGCCCGTGCGGCTAAAGATCCTGCTGGACCGTCTCTTCAGTGTCCTGAAGCAAGAGGAGGTGCTGCACATCCTGCACGGCCTGGGCTGGACTCTGCGGGACTACGTTCGGGGGTACATCCTTCAGGTAGGGGGAGGACGTGGAAGCTGGTGTCTGGGGCTGGCTCTAGGAGGGCTCGGGTGAGAGAGAGCCCTCGGCCCACCTGGTCTCCGCCTGCCCCTCACAGGCCCAGGCCTGCGCACTGTCTTCTGGTTAAAATGGTCCTTTGGGGCAGGCTTGTCCGGGAATTAGGAGGAAGGGGTGCTGTCCCAGCAGCAGGCCGGTCTCGGGCCTCGGTGTGTATTAGAAAGGAAAAGGTGTTGTTTCGTCTGCATCTGTTGGATTCCAACTTGCTCTCCCTACAACATGAGCTCCCTTGCTTCTCCGGCAAGTCTTACTGTAGCTCTACTGAAAGGGAGGGCTCTTTGAGGTGGGTGATGGGCACGTGACAACCTGAGATTACACTCCCTGGGGGTTTAGTAGGGCTTGGTCTTCCCCTTAACTTGGAGGTCCAGTGTTTTCTTGGTTGTCTGTGTACCCTAACTAATCACTGCTTCTTCGTCCAAATCGAAGGAAGAGCTGTAAACCTCTGTTCACTTCCTGCTTTTATAACCAGCCAACCTTCACATCCCAAACATGCAGACATGGTTATAGATTTGGCCTTCACACCACCTGTTCCTCGAGCCTTGAGTCCCTTCTTTGTGTCAGTGGCACTTCCGATCGGGTAAGGGTCTGAACACTTCTGCAGGAGGCCTTTAGCCTCCGCTCCCTTCCCCTGCAACCTCCTGCCTTTTTTCTGGTTTTGGTTTTTTTTTTCATCCTATTTTGCAATGTGTGATGAGTGGTTTTGCATTGTGTACTTTGCCTCTGAAATGTTTTTTTATGGCCATCTGTCTTCCTACGACCCTTGAAGGGTAAATGTTGAAAACAGCATGTTGAGAGACCCCAGGATCCAAAAAGACTACACTGGATGATGAAGAAGTGCTCCCTCCTGCCAAAGGAGCTCACAGTTGGAGAAGGTAGAATCTGAAGTGATTTTTGAAATGTCCTATGGGGATAATACCAGGAGAATTGACCCCTTCCAAAGAAATTGTTTTTTGGCTCTGCCAGCCTGTTCATTCCCCAAGCCACCCTGTGTTATGTGCAAGGCCTCAGCTGCCAGCTTGGTATGTGATGAGTGGCGGGGCGTCAAGTCTCCCCCTTGCTTTAACCTGACATAAACACACACACATTTCTGTCATTCTCCTGTGTCGTACCTCCAGGGGTGAGCCAGGGCAGGAGAGCTGAGGAGGCATGACGAGTGGACACAGAGAAAGAGGGGCGGTGGAGTAACCTGTCTACTCCCATGACTGCTTTAGTTAACACAGAGTCATTTCTCAGTTTAGTGAGATGTCCGTGTGGAAGGCACCAAAAATTTGGCCCTCTGACGATGAGATGATGATCATAGGTGCAATTTCGGTTTATAGAAGGCTTTCACGAGCATTGTCTCGTTTGCCTCAGGATGGGACATTTCAATGGAGCAAGTGGAAAGTGAAGTCCTGGGTGGTCAGGGAACCTGAGGGGCACAAGGTCCAGGAGGAAGGGGCCAGCCAGGAAAAACAAAGCACGGAGCCACTTTAACAACCCCTTCTTGTACTGGCCTCAAGACACATCTGTCCCTCAACTCTCTGCAGATACGTATTTCCATAACATGAGTATTAATGTCCATTTTGGATGAATTCTACCCTACATGAAAGCACAGGCCTTTTGCAGATTTTTGAATGGAACTATTAGCTTGGCTAATAAGCACTCTTTTCCTTTATTCAAAACCTAAAGTATTTTGCCCCAGTCTGGTACCGTCCTCATAGCCTCCACTTCAATCCTTAGTTTTAGCACCAGTTCTACGTGTATATTTTTACCAGAGATAGCTGAGTATATGCATGGCGTCTTTCTGTCCCAACAAACAAATATTTGCATGACTGAGATTATTTGCCTATTTAACCCAGTTTACTGTAGCATTTTGTTGTCAGTAAATATAGAACCTGCTGGATGTTTTGTGGTGTGGTCCTAAAATTCTGCCTTGACTACTGCCTGGTTTTTGTTTGTTTGTTTTACTTGAAATTATTATTTACATGTTAATTTCCTCCCCAAATTTCAACATAGCTCTAAAGCAAGCATAAAAAATGTGCTCCATATTTTTTTTTGTATGAGGACTCCAGTTTTCAAGATACAAAATTGCAAGAGAAATTAATATGAGAGAAAAACTCTGCAAAGCCACAAACCAGCCATTTATAATTATTTGGGGGTGAAATATTACATATAAAGAACACTGTCATTTATTGTTATACTAAAGTTATGATTGATTTTCATTAATTTAATATAGATTTTGACAAGTCTGTATTATAATGTTTCTTCATTCAGAGTCTAGAATTGATATTTTGAGAAAATCATAGATGATTTTTACACTAGAGGAACACTAGGTTTAATTTTTGTCTTGTTTATTGATAGAATTGATGTACTATAGATTTTATTTAAGTGATGCTTTATATTATTCAGCATTTCTCATCTACTTATTCCTTGCAGAAAACAGTGCTTGGTTTAGGAAAAAGGGAAGAGGTTGAAAGACGCAAAACTTTTATCACTTATGTAGTGAGAAATTCACATTAAAAAAAATAAAATAAAACAAACCCCAAAAAACAAGAGCTGGGCTATAGAAATAAACCCTTTTCCTGCAAAGCAGTGTTATTTTATTATTGGCCAATATTTTAAAATTTTTATATAGTAAAGATAAAGTATGCACAAATGACTTTGAACATAATTACATATAACATTTCGTACAAGTAGACTATAAAATGAGCGCCCAAAGGTTGTGGAACCCAATAATGCACTATTAGTGTGCAAGTCATTTTATCTGGCCAAAACTCAATTGTCTTGTAGCCCTCAAGGCATCAATTTTAGCATTATTGCCCTCAACAACAGCATATTGAATATTATGTCAGTTAAAGGAGAATGATTATGAAGGCGAGTTGGGGTGGCTGTTAGTCTCACCACATATTGACTTGGTTAGCAGTTGGCCATCGATTGTGTTACTGGGCGAATGAAGATGTGCTATGAGTTGAACTGGTGAAGCCAGGATATTAATTTTATTCTCTTTGGGCCCAAACCTACATCCCTTATGAATGCACAGCTATTCCTGGTTTCACAGATAGTTTTGAAAGTAGAAGCGTATCAGATGTCTGATCTCCTTTTGAAGTTTGGGATGTTGGGGAAAAGAGGAGCAAACCATATCACAAGAATCATTTGCAAGCATGTACAAAGAGGTTATTCTAAGAAAAAGGGGGATGAAAGTGATGCCACAAATTCATGTAAAAGACTAGCAATATCTTTCAAGAATCCTGCACTACCGTTTTGGTAAAAATTGCTTTTCACTAATGTGATTATCTGTGTAATTCATAAGCTAGCCAGCTGGGTATAGAATGCATAGCATCACCTGGATTTAAGAATTACAGAATATCTTGGGAGTGAAGTGGGGGGAATGTAAAAAAAAAAAAAAAGAATTACAGAATATCTTAAAGGTAAAGAGCCCAGTATTCTCCTGTGTACCAATTAAAGTATTCATTCAGAAAGTTCAGAAAAAAAATGAGGTAAATATTAAGCGTTTTCCCACAAAATGGCAGGAACAGGAAATATGCAATTAGATGCTAAAATCTAAATATGAAGGAACATGAGGGTTTTTTTCTGCAGCTGAAGAATAATTCTTATTTCAAGTCTATCTCATGGTACATTTATTGACTGAATAAAAGCGGTGTCCTGTGCTTTTCTCATTTTCTCTGTCTGTGACCTGGGTGATAAAAATAGTGATTATCACTATTGGATTTAATCATTTAAGAATCAAAGTTTTCACGGCCTCTTTTCAGTTTGAATTGGTAACTGACTAGCCCGGGCTCTGACTCCAGCCTGTCTCCTCCTTGGCAAATGAGTCCTGCCAGGATTCAGAGAACCATATCAGACACCCTGAATAATTAGCTGAGGTGTCAGCAGCCTTGTGAAAGAAGGAACAGTGATGCACATTTCAAATCACCTGTGTCTTGAAACAATCAGAACTAATAGAACAATCAGCACTTTAGAAGAACATTTTGCAGAGTACTCTGGGGACACTGGGCTTCCAGAGGTCCGACTTTAGAATTGGGAGGAAGTACACCCTGGATCCTTCTCTGAGATCCTCTTGGTAACAGTAGCGCACTAAAGGCTCTGAGAAGTTCTGGAATAAGTGGGAGCAGGTAAGTAGCTTCCACCAACATTTCCCACTTAATAGCCTTTTTCTGTCAGGCTCATCAGAAGTCTTCAATTCCTGAGCACGTTCAGCTCTTCTTCGCTTTGGGGTGTTTGCATGGATGGTTTCTTCTGCCCAGACGCCCCTACCTCTCTATCTGCATGGGCCGTTTCTTGTCCTTTAGGCATCAGCTAAAGCCCCACTTTTTTCCCAGACACCTTTTCTGTCCAGCGTAACTCATGCAGGGCTTTTCTAGTGTGGCTCTATCTCAGGACTCTTTCCTTCAACTTCCAACCCAATTTAAAATCAACTGTTAAAATTCTTTTCCCCCCACCCTGGCTTCTTCTAGGGAACACTACCAAGGCAGCGTGCTCAATAAGTATTTGTTAAATGAATGGGGAAAGAAACCTGCTTAACTTAGTACAGCTTGATGTTTCTCCATGGAACTCATGGGATATCCAATAACTTCAGTTGGTCCAAGGGCCCTTAGTCTTTCTTCAGGCTTCATAGGGACTGAGTTCTGTGACAACAGCTGGACTTGTGAAGGCATTAAGAAAGGAATAAGGCCCCCACAACCCCTCGCTAGTGGCCTGTGTAGAATAAGTGTTTTGTGGTATTGGTGTGGTAGAAAAACGTCAATATTAAGCAAACACTTGTATTTAAACATCCCTTTGTGGAACATACGTTAGCTTTTTGAATTCTCTTGTACCACTCTCTTCTAGATATTGCCAAGGCATTAACATTTGGAGTTGTTTAAGCTCAAATTGGTTAAGTGACTTTCCCGTGATCACAGAAACTGGCACCGTTGATGCACTGTAGCTTCCTGAGGACAGAA